TGGGTGGCTCAATTACTAGTTATTTTAATGCCGGCCTGATAATTTTATTTTGGGATCTTATTAAAAATCCCGCGCGGGATCTAAAAAAATCCCGCGCGTGCCCATCTCTAACTGCAAGGAAGTTTTATTTACTGGCTTTTCTCGCAAGCCATTAGGAATTTCAAGATATAATGCAACTGGATCCTTTCCTTCAAATGGTGTTTTACAGCTTGAAATTTCCCAAATAATAACACCAATGCTATAGACATCTGATGTTTTATTTAAAACATAATCTATATTTTGAAGCTTTTGCGAATCAACGTAAGGAATAACACCATGATCTTCATTAATTAACAATGTATTGTTGAGACTTTTTGATGATCCAAAGTCAGCAATTTTTATGTTCCCATGGTGAATTAAAATGTTCCTAGAGTGCTAAAAGTAATTTCATATTTTAGTATAAAGCGATTTCTAAATAAATAATTTCACAATTCTATAGTCAAACATACCAAATCTAAATGTGCTATCATTATATTATGTAAATAAGCAATTCCCTTAATGAGCTGTACACACAATTTAATCTTTTCCGACCAAGGAAGTCTATCGCTATTAATTTTTAGATATCGCTGTAAAGTTCCGCCTTCGGCATATTCCATAACCAAGCAACACGTTCCGTTATTATGGTCTTCATAAATTAATGATTATTATTAAAAAATTCGTACGTACGTACGTACGTAATATTAAAAATGAATATAACTAATAAAGTTACTCACTCCAACTTATTCCAAAAAGTCCTATAATGTGAGGATGCCTTGCTTTACTATGTAATTTTAACTATATAAAAAGATAGATATTTAAAAGTTTGAATTAGAGTTTATTACATCATACTGTAATACAACGCAATTCTTGAGTTTGTGGCCTGAACTACGAATCAGATTGCAAGATCAGGTGCAGCGTAACACAAACGAACGCGTTTTGTCAAAAATTGCATATAAAACTACTCTTCGCGCACTAACAAAAAGCTTTCCTTGAGTAATTTTACTATATGCTCTCATAATCTCTAACCACAATAAAAGCCCTAACCTAAACATAAACGAACTTTAAAGAATTTTTACTGCACCACAAACCCGGCAAACATTCAAGAATTGCAATACAAACCTCATTAAGAAATCTTTTAATTTTATCATCATTATCAATGTTTATTTCTTTTAAAGCTACAAGTTTCTGCATCGAATTGTAAATAAAGTCAATATAAAATTTAACGAATATCCTGAAATTTAATATGTAGGTAAATGAATTAGTGATTGCATAACTACTACGTATACATTTGCACCGAATGCTTCATGGTCAAGTAACTTGATTTATTCGATTAATTAATCAATTAACCGTTTGGATAAGTATTTGAATAGTTACTCAAATAAATAACCCTAGGGATAAGGATAATGTTTTATTTTATCCATCAACGATCAGTACTGGAGATCAAGCAGAAATAATATTTTACTCAAAAGAAGTATTTATACTATAATACGGTAATATAGCATTATGGCATTACAGAATTATGGCTTATGGCATATAGTTTTGGCAGCTATGCTGTAATTAAATATACAATATACCTTAATGGCGTAATGCCATAATTTAGTAAATCTACCATTAACTATAATCAAAGGTGCGAAAAGAAAAGCATATACCTTGGATTCGGACATAAGAAGCAATATCATCATTTTTTTTACAAAGTTCATTTATATATCTTTTTTATGATATACATTTAAAACGTAATCATTGTTTCTATTATACAAACTTTTTTCTTTTGTTAATAATAAACGCTTTTAGATTACAATAGAAAAATATTTGTAATAACGAAGACCGAAAAATATTTAATTTTAATCTTTATAATTCTATATATAAATCTGAGATTTCATGATATGTCATGCAGTGCATGCAGTGCAGAGATACTTGGATATTTCATTAGCAGTTATTCATACAGTGCATGCAGTGCAGAGATACTTGGATATTTCATTAGCAGTTATTCATGCAGTTCATGCAGTGCATGCAGTGCAGAGATACTTGGATATTTCATTAGCAGTTATTCATGCAGAGATGAAATATTTCTACACATGAATTCATTGGTTATTGTTCTTTTATGTTTATCGCCATATGTTATTTGTGCCAATAAAACAATCCAAAAAGGAAATATTTAATCCGATTCAATTACTGAAATACATATTAGGGCTATGCAAGTCTAATTACAAACATAGTGAAGTTAAAAAAAAAAAAAATTTATTTGAGTACTAATCAGCAGGTGGTATAATGTTTAAACTGAATTTCTTTTTGGCGTATATTAGGTTCGTGTAACATTAGATACTCGGGTAATTTTTAAAGTATTTTTTGAGAACTTGATATCTTATTAATAGAAAGTTAATGTATTAATGTTCATTATACAAGGAATTGAAAGATTACAAAATGTACATTTTGTTTTGAAGATTAAATGTATGATTGGTTATCGGATTATGTAAAACTCTATTATATTGTAAAAATATTGGAAATGTTTTTATTAGATTGTTGTTTTACGACGTTAGATCTAAGTAGACCTTTATCATTATTGTTAAGTAGTAAATCGTTTCCGAAGGGTAGAAAAAATAATAAATCTTATCATAAACAAAGTCGGAAATTTATATTTTTTCTATAGTATAGAAATGGGGTTTGCTTACATATAAATTTTTTTTTTTATTAAGTAAACCTTCTTTTAGCTTATAATAAGAGTTGTAGAGCTAATTTTTCTGATTCTAATGATAGTAAAATCATCAAAATCGGTTGGATAAATCATGCGATGAGTATTTTTAAATCGTTTACTATAAGGTTTTTTCTTAAGAAACAGAGCACATGGCATTCCACTTACTATATATGGGGACCCAGCTAGTATCGCCACCAAAATCTGTTACACATATACAGAGTTTAAATTTATCTGCCTACATTAAAATTAATGACTAATATATACAATAATGACGATATTTGATTAATAATAATATAAAATCCAAAGAGCTTGAATACGTATATAGTCTATGAAAAACTTATGGATGTTGAAGGAGAAAGCAATATGTATATAGTATTCAACATGCCACGTATTAATCTTATTTGTCCAGTACAGTTGCATCGGTTTCAATCAGGGATGGTAAATGACCTGAAATGACCCAAATGACCCAAATGACAAATGACTAGTCATTTGTCATTTCAACGTTCA